CATTGAGGACTACTGCGGCTTGTTCTTACCTGGTTCCAGCTGCAGACACATCTGGCTTGTGTCCAGCTACACAGAACACTGTGAGGCACTGCCCACGACCCAGAGATTTTCAAGTGATGAAGCTTCTTAGGTGGTTCAGGTGGTTCAAAAGTGGTTTGTGATGTAAACGTTGGACACCCCACCTAGCCAGTGGCTCCACAGAAGAAAGGCCTGGCAAACTTCTTCCTGGAAGATTACAGCCAAGAAAACCTCATGAGTTGCCATGAGTCCGACCCAGTGGCAAGAGATTCGTTTTTCTAAGAGTGGTCTGTGACTGAAACCACAGTGTGGTTATCAGGACATTGTCTAGACACCCCTGAGTTTGGTGTTCAAGGCTCCCCATGGTCTGACCTCTGCCCACTGCTCCTTCTAATGCTGTGTCCCCTCCAAGCCCCACACTCTTCTGTTCCTTTACCCCAGTGTTCTGCTCTTGGTGTGTACTCCTCTCCTGGAAATGCCCTCTGCTGCTCCTGTCCCCCTCCCCACTGAAGAATTTGGACTCTGCTCTTGCAAGACCTGCCAGCACACAGACCCTCCTCAAGGAAGCACTCTCTGCTTCCCTCCCCCCCACCCCCATACCCTTACGTCCCTACTGTCTTATTTTCTGTGGCTGCTGGAACTAAGCATCACCATCTGGGTGGCTTAAAACTACAGAAATGCATTTGCTCACAGTTCTGGAGACTAGAAGTTCAAATTCAGAAGTCTCTAGGGGAAGATTCGTCCTTGTCTCTTCCAATTCCTAGTAATCCCAGAGATCATTTGGCCTGTTGTTGTTGTTGTTAAGTGTTGTTGAGTCAGTTCTGACTCTTAGCAACCCTGTGTACAACAGAACGAACACCACTCGGTCCTGCACCTTCCTCACCATTGCTGGTACGCTTGAGCTCATTGTTGCCGCCACTGTGCCAATCCATCTCGTTGGGGGTCTCCTTCTTTTTCTCTGTCCCTCCACTTTGCTAAGTATGATATCCTTCTCCGGGGACTGGTCCTGATAAGATGCCCTCTGGCCTGTGGCAGCTAAATTCCAGTGTCTGCTTCCATTTTTACCAGGCCATCTCTCTGCGTAGATCTGTGTCTTCTCCTCTTCTTCTAAGCACACTAGTCATACTGCCTTAGGATCCGTTCCCCTCCAGGATGCATTTATATGAACTAAGTACAAATGCAAGGACCCAATTTTCATCCCAGCCACATTCACAAATGCTAGAGCTTAGGACTTCCAGCTTTTGGGGGTGGGGGGACACAAGTCAACCCATGACTCCTAGGCTCCTACTTTTTCATATTCCTCTCCCTGAGGTCACCCAAACCCCTGACATTAGAATTCTGAAACTGTGGGTGAGCTTCTGTGTACATGCTCTTTTCTGGGCAGCACCTTAAGTTTTTGTTAGACTTGCAGGGATGTAAGACCAGTGTAGCTGCCTGGTTAGGGGTATGACCCTAGAGATTGAGTCTGTATGGGTATTAAGAGACGATGGAGGTGGGACTGGGGCTTTAGGGGCTGTCTCTGAATTCCCAAATGATGTCCAGACCATCGGGGAAAGGGCAGTAATTAAGAGCTGTGGTTTGGGATTTGGACAGTTCTAGGTTCAAATCCCAACTCTGCCACTTACCAGCTGTGTGGCTCGAGAGCCTCCTGTGTAAAGTGGGGAGATTATTACTGCACACAGGACTGTTGGGAAAATGTCATCGATGCATAGGGATTGACACAAGGCTGGACACATAGTTGTTGTTGTTGCTGTTGTTAAGTGCTGTGGAGTTGGTTCCAACTCCTAGCAACCCTGTATAGCGCTTCTAAGAAGTGTAGTTAGCAGTCCAGTGCTTAACCTACAGTGCCATGCCAGCTTTGTGACTCCAGATCTTAATCTTTCTGATCCTCATTCTCCTCTTAAAAATAGATACAAATAAAAAGATCCCCCTCATAGAGTTGTTATATGAATATTGAATAAAAAAGCACGTGTGTGATTAAAACTCTGTCTACCACATAATAAGGAGTCCTGGTGTGGCACTGTGGGCTAATGTGCCAGACTTCAAAGCCATTTGAACTGCAAGGTTGGTAGTTCAAGCTCACCAGCTGCTCCTTAGAAACTCTATACAGGGTCGCTATGGGTCGGAATTGACTCGACGGCACTTAACAACAACAACAACCACATAATAAAGGCTCTGTCAACATTAGCTGTTAATAACAATTGCTGTTCTACATATTGTTTATACATCTTCTGTCGGGTTGATCACTATATAGGATAGTGATCATTTTTTAAGTTTCTGTCTCCACCAGTAGACATCAGATTCTCAGAATTATTTGCTTCTGCACCCCAAGTACACCCACAGTAGGCATCCAGTATATCTTTTAAATGCAGGCAGGGACCTTTTCTGTAAGTAGATGAATGGCTTGATGAATTGATAGACTGTTGCAGTTTGGATGGATGGATAGATGATGCATGAATAATAGATAAATGACTTAGTGGATGCATGGGTAAATAGACTGGTGAATGGATTAAGAAATGATGGAGGGATGACTGGATGGATGGATGGATTCACTCTAAATGGATTTTTGTCTGTTTTGTTCACTTGTCTGTTCCAAGTGTGTAGAACGGTGATTGGTGCATAGTAGGATCTCACTACTTAGTTGCTGAGCAAATGGCATATGTAGGTTGGGCTGTCTTTACTGAACCACCTATGAAGCTGACTGGATTAGATCGTATGTATGGGCTAAACTTGGGGCTAAACTTGTCTTGGAGCCCCCTGCTGGTATTAATAGGGAACAACACGGGCCACGTAGTGTTTTCCTCCTAGTTTCTAATTTACATTCTATTTTCTTCCCAGTGGATGGTCCTGAACATGAGTCATAAAGCAGGGTCCTCAGCCTTCTGTGCTCATTTCCGTCACCCAAGAGCATCTTATTTCACCTCTAGGTTACACCTTCAATAAGAGATTCTGGTTGAAGAGGCAGGAACCTTCATGTTTAACCAGCTGCCTAGGGGATTACTAAGCAGGGGTTCTTCCTGCCATGTGAGAGGCCCTCTTGGAGAAGGTGAGCCTTTATGGACATTTAGGGGCAGTGGAGGTAAGGATTGCCACTTTGGGAGGTGTCTTTGAATCCCCAGATGATGTCCAGACCACATGGGAAAAGGATAAAATCCCCAAGGTCACGGTTAAGAGCTATGATTTGGGATTTGGACAACCAGGGGTTCCGCTCCCAATACTACCTCTTAACAGCTGTGTTCCTTGACTTCCCTCGTTTTTTAAAGGAAATACTTACCTCTGACGGGAATGTTGGGAAATTTTGATGTGGAGGTCTGGATACAAGTCTAGGTACACAGTAGATAATAAATAACGAATAAGCGACTATGTTGATAAATAATCGTTTCCTTCCTTTGCCTTTTCTTCATAGAATAGAAGAAAGAGACTGTCTATTGATCTCCCCCACTAGACAGCAGCCTCAGGAAGGGACATCCTTCACAACTGTTTTCCAGTGCCTAGCACAGCACCTGATACATAGAAGGGGCTCACGTAATATTGTTGAGAAAATGAATGAATTTGACCGGGTTCAGATTCAACCAGGTACAGAAGATATTTCAGCAAAGACATATGGTTGTTAGTGGCCCTTGAATTTGTTTCAACTCAGGGTTGTTGTTAAGTGCCATTAAGTTGGTTCTGTATAGGGTTTCTGAGGCTGTAAATCTTCACAGGAACAGAAAGCCACATCTTTCTCCCATGGAGCAGCTGGTAGGTTTGAACCACCAACCTTGTGATTTGCAGTCCAGTGCTTCTCCTACAGTGCGACCGTGCTTCTCTTACCATGTACCAGAAGGAAATGCTGCCCCATCCTGGGCAGTCCTCACGATCATTGATGTTTCTGAATATTGTTGCAGCTGTTGAGTCGAACCATCATTGAGGGTTTCCCTTCTCTTTGAATACCTCTGTTAGTCATTTTGGCACACTGTGATGGCCTGCATGTTGCTACGATGCCCAAAGCCAAGTCACCAATATATCAAATACCAACAGCATCACCCATGGCAAACAGGTTTAATAGATCTTCCAGACTAGGAGAGACTAGGAATAAAGGCCTGGTGACCTACGTCTGAAAATCAGTCATTGAAAACCTTAGAGATACCAATTGCTAGGAAAAAAAAAAAAAAAAAGCTTGGTAATGTAGAGGGTCCACAAGCACCTAGGAAGTGCTTTTTGACTCAGGGTAACTCACGAATCATTACCCATCTGACAAATGTATAAGCAATACAGGGAAATGTATCCTACCAGTCCATAAGAACCTGTACCTGTCTAAGATTAAGCTTTTTTGAAGAGTAGGGCCCAGTAGCATTAAAGTACTGCTCCCCCTCTTCCCCAAGTCCCAGTTTGGTTTAATAGAAAAGACAGTACAGTGTTCTCTGGAAGCCTTAGGGCCAGGGCTCCTCAGAGCCTATTCCTAATGTGCTCTGGGCTTTGTTTTCTGCCCTAGAGGACAGTGGGATTGTGTGCCTCATAATGAGGCATTTCATATCTGTATCTGTGCTGTTTTATAGGTGGCAGCCCTGAGACCCTAGACCTGAAAGAATGCAATCCTTCCAGCTTCTGCTTCCAGTAGGTGGACAAGTGGACCTGGGCCCCCAGCTGGGAATGAGGCCAGAAACAGAGCCACAGTGAAGTTATACAACACCCACAAGCCCTAGGAGCCGAGGCAAGAAGGGGATTGTAGCTGCTGGTGAGCCTTGGATTCCCAGCCCAACTGCAGTGTTCAAAGCTCTTTAGAACGTCTTTGAAGTGAAGAACAAGATGTAGGAACACAACACGGGACCCACTCTGGGGTGTCCCAAGCCTCGAAACCCCTTTCTTGACCCCAAGAAGGGGTGGGGGTGGATCGTCTCTTTCTCTGGGTCTCAGCGGCCCCCTCTGGTTCTGACAGATCACTTTTGCAGAGGGGATAAGACTGCAGATCCCAGGGGTGCCATCCCTAAGGGAAGCTGGGGAAACAGAGCCCCCTCTAGCAGTCCCCAGCCCCAGTCACGCCCAGCGAGCCAGTCCGGAATGTTTCCGCCATGGCCAAGCTCTGGTTCAAATTCCAGCGGTACTTCCGCCGGAAACCTGTGCGCTTCTTTACCTTCCTGGCGCTCTACCTGACAGCGGGCAGCGTGGTCTTTCTGCACTCGGGCTTCGTGAGCCAGCCCGCGGTGTCTCAGAACCAGGCCATCCCAGCTGTAGGGTCCCCAGTCGATGGTGCAGAGCTGCCCTTCTTGGGCGACATGCATCTGGGCAGGGGCTTCCGGGACACGGCTGACGCCTCGAGCATCACCCGAAGGTATGGACCCTGGTTCAAAGGCAAAGACGGAAATGAGAGAGCCAAGCTGGGCGACTACGGTGGAGCCTGGAGTCGAGCCCTCAAGGGGAGGGTCGTCAGGGAGAAGGAGGAGGAGCGAGGTAAGTGGGGTGAGCCTCTGGGGGTGGAGGCAACAGTAATTACGTCATATGATAAAAGCGCCCAGGTAGTGCAGTGGTTCAGTACTGGGCTGCTAACCTGGCCCGTGAGTGAAAGACATGGCAGTCTGCTTCAGTAAACTTTCTACTGTCCTATTGGGTCACTGAAGGAGCTCGGGTACCATAGTGGGTTATGCGGAGGGCTGCTAACTGCGAGGTTAGCAGTTCGAATCCAGAAGCTACTCTGCAGAAGAAAGATGAGGCTTTCAACACCCCTAAAGATTTACAGCTTTGGAAACCCTACACAGGGTCACTGTGAGTGGGAACCTACTGGACAGCATGATGCACCAACAACAGCATAGTGTTGTAAGGGCCCCGGTGGTGCTATAGGACAAGTACTGGACTAAGGTGGAGGGTCAGAGAATAGGAGGAAGACCCCCAACAAGATGGACTGGCAAAGTGGCAGCATCAATGGGCTCAAGTGTGGCAACAGTTGTGACATTGGCCCAGGACTGGGCAGTGTTTCATTCTGTTGTGTATAGGGTCTCTATGAGTCGGTACCGTCTCGATGGCACCTAACAACAACATGAACCACAAGGTAGGCAGTTTAAACCCACCAGCTGCTTCTCATTCACTATGAGTCAGAACCAACTGTGTAGTTTAGGATAGAATAAAATAGTATACTATCTATCTTGGAAGAATGCTGCTTAGAAGCCAGGATGGATAGACTTTGTCTCTTACACTTCAGACATGTTATCAGGAGGGACCAGTCCCTGGAGAAGGATATCATGCTTGGTAAAATGGAGGGCCATAGAAAAAGAGGAAGGCCCACAATAAGATGGATTGACACAGTGGCAGCAGTAATGCACTCAAATATAACAATTGTGAGGCTGGGGCAGGACCAGGCAATGTTTCCTTCTGTTGTGCAGAGGGGTTGCTATGAGTCAGAACCAGCTTGACAGCACCCAACATTAATAACATAGTGTTATAATGTTATGGTTGTTGTTGTTATGTGCCGTGGAATCGGTTCTGACTCATAGCAACCCTGCATAGGGTTTCCAAGACTCAATCTTTACGGGAGCAGAAAGCCTCATCTTTCTCCTGCAGAACAGCTGGTAGTTTCGAACTGCTGACCGTGAGATTAGCAGCTCAATTCGTAACCACTGCTCTACCAGAGTTCCTTGGTGGTGGTGGTTATGTGCCGTGGAGTCGGAACCAACTCATAGCGACCCTGCACAGGGTTTCCAAGGCTATAAATCTTTATGGGTGCAGAAACCCTCGTCTTTCTCCCGTGGAACAGCTGGTAGTTTCGAACTGCTGACCTTGCAGTTCGCAGCCCAATTCGTAACCGCTATGCTACCAGAGTTCCTTGGTGATGTGATGTGATGTGATGTGATGTGATGTGATGTGATGTGATGTGATGTGATGTGATGTGAAATGATGTGATATGATGTTGTTGTTAAGAGCCTCAGAAACCCTATACAGGATCACCGTGATTCAGAACCGACTTGATGGCATTTAACTGCAGTTGTTTTTTTTAAGTGTTGTCAAGTCGGTTTTGACTCATGGTGACTCTGTATAGGGTTTCTGAGGCTTCAAATATTTGTGGGAACAGAAAGCCTCAATCTAACTCTGCTGACTTTGTAATTCACAGTCCAGTGCTATCCTACAGAGACCCTGCCCAGAGCCCTTTCCCAGAGCACATGGTTGTTGTTAAGTTCTGTAGAGTCAGTACTGACTCATAGTGACCCTGTAGAGAGTTTCCAAGGAACAACTGCTGACCTTGTGGCTAGCAGTCCAGGGTTTATTTTACAGCACCACACTAGAACAGAGCACATTAGGAACTATATTATATAATATGGTATAGTGTATAATGTTGTTGTTAAGTGCCATCGAGTCGATTCCAACCCATAGCAACCCTGCATAGGGTTTCTGAGGAGCAGCTGGTGAGCTTGAACTGCTGACCTTGCAATTCAAATGGCTTTGCAGTCTGGTGCATTAACCCACAGTGCCACACCAGGACTCCTATCGTGTATAGTGTTGTTGTTGTTGTCAAGTGCCGTCAAGTCGATTCCGACCCATAGCAACCCTGTATAGAGTTTCCGAGGAGCAGCTGGTGAGCTTGAACTGCTGACCTTGCAGTTCAAATGGCTTTGCAGTCTGGCACATTAACTCACAGCGCCACACCAGGACTCATAGTGTAGGATAGAATAATATACTATAGACTAGCGTAGAATGGAATGGACTAGAATAGAATAGAAGTCTGAGTGGTACATGTGGTTTGCAATCAGCTGCTAACCAAAAGGTTGGCATGTTGAACCCATCCAGAGGCTATGCCATAGAGAGGCTTGGTGAACTGCTTCTGTAAAGATGACAGCCAGGAAAAACTCATGGGGCGGTTCTGCTCTGCAACACTTGGGGCTACCATGAGTTGGGAGCTGACACTACCGCAGTTAACAACACAGTATGCTGTTGTTGTTGGTGGTAAGTTCCATCAAGTCAGATCTGACTCATAGTAACGCTGCCTTGGAGCAGCTGGTGGGTTTGAACCACCGACTTGCGGTTAGCAGTCTAGTACATATCTACAGCTTCTCCAAGAACTCCCAACAACATAATGTGTTATTGTTAAGTGCCATCGAGTTGGCTCCAACTCACAGTGACTTGGTATCGGGTTTTTGAGGGGTGACTGGTAGGTTTGAACCACCACCTTTGCTATCTAGTGCTTATCCTACAGCACCACATCAGGACTCCCAGGATAGACAGTTTAAAAGCAAAATCAAAACCAAACCCTACCTTCGTGTGGATTCTGACACATAGTGACACTGTGCAGGATTTCCAAGACAATAAATTTTTACAGGAACAGACACCCTCATTTTTTCTCATGGAGCAGAGTAGCTTGTGGATTTGAACCACTGACCTTGCAGTTAGCAGTCCAATGCCTAACCCACAGTGCCACCAGAGCTCCTTATAAATAGTATAGTACAGTCCATGGTGGTGGTTGGTGGTTGTGTGCCATCAAGTCAGTCTCGACTCACAGTGACCCTTTTGAGGGTTGCTGTAAATCTTGATGGGAGCAGAAAGTCTCATCTTTTTCCTTCAGAGTAGGAATAGATTCAAACTGCTGACCTTGTGGTTAGCAGCCCAGCTCATAATCCATTATACTACTCTGGTAGCGTAGTGGTTACGAATCGGGCTGCGAACCTTAAGCTCAGCGGTTCGAAACTACCAGCCGCTCCACGGGAGAAAGATGAGGCTTTCTACTCCCGTAAGGATTTACACCCTCGGAAGCCCTGTACAGGGTCGCTATGGGTCGGAACCGACTCGAAGGCACTTAACAACAACAACAACAACAGGACTCCTTATAATACAGTATGTTGTTGGTAAGTGCCATTGAGTCCATTCCAACTCCTCATGACCCTGTCTAGGATTTCTGAGGAGCAGCTGGCGAGTTTGAGCCTTCAACCCTGAGGTTCAAACTGACCTTGCAGTCCAGTGCATTATCCTGCATAATATGAAGGAGCCCTGGTGATGCAGTGGCTAAGTGCTTGGCTGTTAACCAAAGCATAAGTCATTTTGCCCAGCCAGCCACTGGTGATCTGCTTCAGTAATGATTTTAGCTTGGGTAACCCTATTAGGTAGTTCTACTCTATCATAGGGAGTCCTGGTGTGGCGCTGGGGGTTAATGTGCCAGACTGCAAAGCCATTTGAACTGCAAGGTCAGCAGTTCAAGCTCACCAGCTGCTTCTTGGAATCTCTGTACAGGGTTGCTATGGGTCGGAACCGACTCGACAGCACTACACAGCAACAACAACTCTATCACAAAGGGTCACAATGAGTCAGAATTGACATGACAGCACACACCAAATGCAGAATAATATACAGAATAGAATGGAGTGCTGGTGTGGCGTTGTGGGTTAATGTGCTGGACTACAAGGTCAGTTTGAACCACAAGGTATGAGGTTCAAACTCACCAGCCACTCCTTGATAACCCTATACAGGGTTGCTATGAGTCAGAACCAATGTGACGGCACTTAACAACAACAACGTACAGAATAAAATAGAATATAGATCAGTTATCAGTTTTTCAGAGGAACCTGCTGTCATACAACACCAGATATGTAGTAGTTTTTAGTACTACCCCTGTTTCACAGATGAAACCATTAAAGCTCAGAGAAATTAAGTAACTTGCCTAAGGTCACACAGCTTTTAAACACCCAGGTTGGGATTTGAACCCCAGGTCTGTCAAAGTTCCAAGTCTTAGTCTCCCCACAGCCTCTTTTTTGTTTTTTTGTTCCACATGAAAATAAAAACAGCTAGCATTGTTTGAGCTCTGAAATGTGTCTGTGGGTTCCAAGCACTTTACATGGATTGAATTGTTTACTTAGCACAACTATATGTGGTAAACATTTAATATTCTCATTTTAAAAATGAGAAAAAAATATACCCTGGGTATATTTTCTTAGCTTTTCACAGTCCAGCGGAACCTCTCTTTGTGGGTACGGTACTTCATTTGATTTTCAGTACACTTCATGTACTTGAACAAAGAATGTGATCCTATGTCCAGTTAACAGATGTGGAAACTGAGGCATGAAGGGGTGAAAACACCAGCCCAAGGCTACACAGCTGATAAGTGCTGGAGTTCAAATGCAAATCTCTCTGGAATGAATGCTCGTACTCGACTTTCTCCACAACTATCCTGCTAATGTGTACCTATCTGATGAGCAGCATGCTGGAGAAGACCTCGCTACCCCTGCTGTTCATGGGATTAATATGAAGGGACGTTTCAGGAAGCCTGGACAGATGATTTGAAGAACAAACTGCCCAATCAAAGCAGAAGGGAAACCTCACTTGCTTCTGTGTTTCCTTCCACATGTCACACTCATTGTGGTTCAATTCATGGACAACCCTTAGCTCACCATGGAGGGGAGTGGAATTAATGGAGAGGGGCTCACTGTGGAGAGCACATCCCAGCCTCACCTGGCTCAGGAGCCATTTAGAGGATC